GTGCAGTTCTTTGGAGCTCTCACCTCGCAAACGAGAGGGTTAAAAAGTTTCTCTTGCTCTGGGAATTGAATTTTACCAGCTGTCAACTCTTCTATTGGCTTTCTGGGCTCTTTTTTGGGGAAGTTTGAGTTCATTTCCCTGGGAAATGGGATCCAAAGGAGCCTGACTGTGAGTGGTGTTGTGTTTTCCAGCTCTCCGACAGCCTCATCGATCGGATGAAGGAACCCTCCTCGCCCTCTGGGAGATCCCCCCGCTCCTCAGGTGCAGGTTTGCTCCTGCTTTTTTGGGCTTTTAGCTGGGAGGAAGGGAAGGAAAATCAAATTTGCCCTTCAGAGCTTTGTAATGAACTCATTGCCCTTTTTGGAGAGATGAGCTTCTTGACATTAACTTATTTTTGTGGTTTTTTACGTGGGTTTGAAGCTCCTCTTGGTTTTCTTCTGACATTAAAGTGCAAAACATCTGCTCATCAGACTTGGTTTTCCACAGTATTGTCACTAAAACCTTGTTGAAAACACCACAGAACAAGCAAAAAACCCAAATAATTCTTGAGTTCTGAAGGGCAAATTCTTGCTTCTTTAATCAGCACTGAGCTTTGTTCTGCTGAAGTTCTGCTGGAATACACTCCAGCAAACATTAAAAGGAAAATATGCTGTTTTCCTGTTATGGAAGGGTGGAAATAAGTGACACACAGATGGGTGGCTTTCTTTACTCCTTATATTTCATTACTGAGGTCTGTTCTGATGCATCAAACAGTGTCTGTGCCAGGCAGCCACTGCTCTGATTTAAAATATTCCAGCACAGGCTGCAGGAGTGGAAATGAAGAGCAGAGATTGCAGCTGGAGATTTGGGGAACCTCTAAAGTCCAAGGAAGGCTCTTATCAGTGCTCCAGAAATATTCCTGATAACAGGAAATTCCCTTGGGGCCTTTTGCCTTGATACTTAAAAAAACCCCCAACCAATCCAGGGAACTCAGCACTGATTAAAACCAAGCCCTGTGGCAGCTTTGCAGCAGGACTGGAGTAAATAGAAGGAGCATCTTTCTTTCTTCTGAAGCATAAAGTTGTTTTCCTGGTGCTTAATTGAAGGTGTCTGTGGTGGGGTGTCTCTGTCACACCATCCCAGAGTGGTTTGGGTTGGGAGGGACCTCGAGGATCATCTCATTCCAACCAAAAATGGAATATTTTTTTAATGTTTTTAAATAGTAACTTTCTCTTTTTTTTTTTTGCCTGTATTTTGCTGTGGTGATGAATTATTCTAGGTAAAGGATTTATATAAAATTACAGTTGTCCACCTTCCTGCTTTCCCTGTGCTCTTTGCTGCCTTTCCATCCTTAAACCTGAGTTAGGGACATGATCTTGTGAACAAGCACCTGGGAATTTGGGCTCTGGGGGCTGGAGCTGAAGGCTGGGACATCCCAGGAGTTCTTTGCTAATTCCCAGCCTCTGCCAGGGCCTCCCCACCCTCACAGCCAAGAATTCCTTCCCAATATCCCACCCTGAGCCTTCCTTTTGTTTCTCATTGTGTGTGGGGAAAGGGGGCTTTGGGTTTTTTCATTCTTTTGGATATTTTTGTTTATTGAAAGACTTGGAGCAAGTCCAGAGGAGGTCACTGAGTCAATCAGGGGGATGGAGGATCTCTCCTGTCAGGAAGGGCTGGGAAAATTGGGATTGTTCAGCCTGGAAAAGAGGCTTTGGGGTGACCTCATTGCAGCCTTTCAGTACCTGAGGGGAGTCTACAGGAAAGATGGAGAGAGACTTTGGAGAAGGGATGGAGGGACAGGACAAGGGGGAATGGCTTCAAAGTGACAGAGAATGTGTTTAGCTGGGATATTGGGAAGGAATTCCTGGCTGGGAGGGCGGATAGGCCCTGGCCCAGGTTTCCCAGAGGATCTGTGGCTGCCCCTGGATCTCTGGAAGTGCTCAAATCCTGGTTGGAACACCCTGGGATGGTGGGAGGTGTTGGGTTTGGAACTGGATGGTCTTCAATGTCCCTTCCAACCCAAACCATCCTGTGATTCTGAGAATTCCTTGAGCGTCCTCGAGCTTGGAAAACCTTCTGGAGCATTTCTGCTCGAAGAAGGAGTGGTTTTGGTGCAGTTCTTTTACATCCCAGCCCAAGAGCACTTTACAAGAATAAAAAAAAAGTGTCTGGAGGGAGAAACATTAGAGCTGTTCAACCCAGCCCTCTCCTCAAGTGAAATCATGGATAGCTTTTGCTGGAGGAATAATGGATGAGGTTACATGAAAGAATGTGCTTGCCAATAATGATGAATTTATTGACTTCACTTGGGGGGGTCAGAAAATGAAATTACATCCACTTACACGGGCACCTGACATCTAAATACAACATCTTAAAGCATCTGAGCCTTGCCTGGATCACTTTCTGACTTCTGAGTGATATTAAATGCACTAAAATATTTAACAAGTGTAAAAATCTTTCCAGTCTGCCTGTAATTCCTAAAGCAATATTGATGGAAGGTAATTTGGTCAGACAACAAGGGTGGGTTTGTTTTTTGGTTTTTTTGTTTGTTTTTTTTTTTTTTTGCTGGGTGTGTGTATTATCTCTAAAGCTTCAGTCAGAGCAGACAAAGGGAATGCTTTCCTTCCTTTTTGCTTAGTGGATATTGGAAAATCCACTAATGGTTTATTATGGGGGGCAAAAAAAAAAAGGAAGAAGAAATGCTTAAATTCTCAGGAGTCTCAGCACCTCAGACAAGCTTTTTTCCCCCCTTTTGCAGAAACAGATGATGCTGAGGACACATTTTTCCCCTTTTTTTAAGCTGTATTTGTTATTTTTGTCATTTTGAGAACAAATCAGTCAAGGATTTGTCACAAACTCTAATTGTTGTGGAGTAATTGTGGAGGAATTGGGTTAGACCTTTGCATTTTTCAGGGCTTGATTTTTGGGGATTGATATCTTTTTTTTTGGGGGGGGGGAGGGTTGATTTCTGTCTTTTGGTGGAGTTTCCATGGCCTGGGGTGTCTTGGCTCGGTCAGAAGGATCGTTGGGATGTCCAGGAATGAGGATTTGAAGAATTAGGTTGGAACTGGAGAGACAACCAGGATTTAATTGAACTTTGGGAGAGCAAACTTCCAGAGAGAGCAGGTTGGTGAGGTCACATCAGAGGCAGATTTGAGGGAAGATATGAGATCCTCAAGGACAAACCTCTTCCAAGTGGAAGAACAGTCCATTCCAGCCCCCAGGAATGTGAATGGATATATTGGGAGGCTGGGCTGGCTGCTAACAAAGCTTTGGGGTAAAAACAAGCCCAGCATGAGGAGGAAGCTCAGCCAGGCTGGAAAATGAGTGGATTTGGGGGTCAGGAGAAGGCCCAGGTGTCCTTTACCTCCCCTTCAGCAAGGTGCTCAGCATTCCCATTATCCTTGGATCCAGGTTGGGATAACTCAGGGTTACAAACCCTGCTTGGATGTGCAGGGTCGGAGGGTTGTGGCTGCTGGGTCAGACTCTCCCTGGAGCTGCTGGAGTGGGATTCTGCAGGAGTGGAACAGCTTTATCCATGTCCTGGAGCAGGAAATGGAGTAGAGGCACTTCCATGCAGGTGATCCCAAATTTAGGGGGCAGTTGGAGGGCAAAGCTGTTCTCCAGAGGGCCCTGGAATGGCTGGAGGAACGAGTAAAATCGAGCAGAGAAGGTTTTGAGGACACCCAACAGCAGCATTCCCAGAGCTCTGGGGATTCCTGGGAAGCTGGTTCTTCACAATGCTGATTGTGTGAGGGCAGGAGATGGTGGAAATAAAGAATAACTTTGAAGCAGGAGAGTGGAAATAAGGAATAACTTTGCCAGTATGAGACCAGTGAGACGCCGGGAGGGTTTTCCCGCTGACACTGCCCGGTCTCCATCCTTGAAGCTTTCAAGGTGAGCGTGGAAAAACCCTGAGCAACTTGGGGTTGATCTCAAGGCTGACCCTGCCAGGAGCAGAAAGGTTGACAAAAGAACTTCCTGTGGCCCCTTCCAGCCTGAAGGATTCCGTGGTTTGGGTGTGGAAATCCGTTTGCTCAGTCAAACACAGGATTTTGGAGCCTCTGAAGGTGAGAAGGGACCACTGGGACCACCTGGACTGGTCTCCTGCCACAGGAGAATTCTGACACCAGAGTCATTGCCCTTGTTCCTTGTTTGTTTTTTAGGGAGATTTCTCTTTATTGAATTTTTTTTTTAAAGAGTTGCAGCACGTCCTGAGGATATTTAATAATTATGGCTAGTCAGGTACTGCGTGGAAAAAGAAGTAAAACTGGAATAGCTGATGATCAGTGTTGTGGGAGGCTCTGCAGCATTGCCTGTGAGTTTGAATTCTGTGTTTGCAGTTTTTATGAGTGTCTGGAAGTTTACAGAGTTTGCCTAAATTTGTGCCAGTTGAGCAAGAACCCTCTGCAAATAAAAACCCCGGCGGTTCTTTGCCCTTTGAGGCATTAATTGCTCATCCACCCTTTTGTTGCAACAAGATTTTTTTTTTTTTCCCTGTGTAAACTGAAAGATGAACTGACATTTGTGATTTCCATTGGTGGGATTCCCCTTATTTTTAGAAAAGGAAAAAAAAAACAGGTTTAGCAATGCTGGGGTTGATCCCCTTTGCTGGGAGACACCAGTAGAAGCTCAGGCAGTTCCATGTGGATTTACCCACTTCCTTCAGGATCCAGGAGAGCTTAGGCTCTGCTTTTGGTTTATTTGTTCTCCTCTGGGTATCCTCATAAAGGGTTTTAAACTTTAGTGGTCCTTAAAACCTGACATAAATCAGGTGGGAGCCCTCAGGCAACACACTGGGACCACTGGAAACCTGGAAAGCCACGATTTGCACATTATAGATTAATATTAATAATAATAGTGCATTGCCACTGCATTGTCACAGGTAGCTTTTATTTGCAGTGATGTGTATTGATGTTTTTTGGGGCTAAAGGTTCACTCTTGATGGGAGGGATTTTATTATCCAAAGGTGAAATGTTTGTGGCTTCCCTGAAGGTGCCAAACTCAACCTCTGTCAGTGCAGCAGCAAATCTTCAGTACATCCTGATATTCCTGTCACTGGATTGCAGGAGCAGAGGGAAGGTGGAATTGTGCATGGGAGGTGAAGCCAGGAGTGCACAAATGAAGGTTTTGTGGAGGGGTTCTGGGGTGGCCTCTGGGTTTGTCCTGAAATGGGGCTGAAATTAGGCTGGAAAACCAGCAAATGAAGTTATTGAGTGTGGAAAAGGGACATAATTGTGTAAGAGGAATTTGTGCTTCATCCCTGGAAGTGTCCAAGGCCAGGCTGG